ACTCCCCGCGCCGGCTGGCATTATCCAATTTTCCAACACCGCTGATTCATCTAGAAATTACAGCTTCGCTATGATTTTTGCATGAACCAGTTACAGTTGGTACGTTTCTTCCCATCGCTTAAAACGTACAAGTTTTCTCATTGCACTGCAGTTACATTTAAAATAATACTTCTTTTTTCTTTATTTCCTATTCAAATTATAAATACGAGATAGTAGATTTCGTAATAAGCTTGGAATTATTGTAGTTAACCAAGTTATTAGTTATTTTAATAACCAGAAATTTCGTACAGATAGATTTTTTGCATTGTAACATGATGAAATCTGACACCAATTACAGTCCTGCAAGATTTCTCATAGAATGAATTTATCTTGGTGATACGAAAATAAAGAATGCTACACAGAATAACTCATAATCTATATCGGGTTAAGTGCAAATATTTTCTACAAGAACGTTGTAAATATAAGTTCTGTGATGAGATTGTCAAAGCATGGCAATAGTCCAAATAATCCATTTCTTTACTGTAATGAAGTACTAAGTAGAGACGACGTTGATAAGTGAAAAATATTAACAGAGTTTTGCTTTGGTCAAATATGAAACGGTAAATCGTCAGACCATTGGATGATTTTTTATTTATTATATTTAGTTGTTTTTTTTAATTTACTAATATTACCTTTAACGATTCGAACTAAGCTATAATAAAAAAAATGTTTAAAGTCATTAGAAACAGCCTGAATTGCAGTTTTAAAAATAAAACAGTATTAAAAACCTCTATAAACACTGCTAAATATGTTGCATGTTTAATTGCAATATATAAATAATAAATTCATGCAAACATAATTATGACTATCATAAATTCAAAAGTAAAATCAGACAGCAAGGGTTTTCCGCGAAGCATTTAATAAACCAATTTAAAATAAATTATCCTTCTTTCCTCTCACTACCTTAACATCTGTTCAATAACTTACGCTCGTGTAAGTAAAACATAAATTACATTAAATGAAACAAAACAAACGCGATGTCATAACAAATGCAGAATTACCTCGCAACAATTTTACTCTTTGTTATTTTGCAAAATATAGCGGCAAAGGAAATAAAATTGATCATTCCACAGACTGAAGCTTTTTCACTTCCTCGTCATTTGTTTTGTTTTTTTTAATATATTTAATTTCCACCATTTGTGCTTTAATTAGTAGTGCTGTAGTTTTTAGTAATATTACGAAGTCAATAAAAGATTTTTCTTATAAACTTTATTCTATTTTCAACAAGACATTCGTGTTGTCTTGTAAATATATCAGCATCATACGACTTGTGGATTGTCAATTTGTTTTGTTCCTATCATACCGGAGCTCTGTTTGACTTATACGAAAATAAACCGGTATCAGAGCGAGTCGGGGAACGGAATCTGTCTTCTCATACATGTCAGTCAATCACGGCCCCGGCCCCGGCGTCTATGATCTAGAGATGGGTTGCTGCCTGTTTTCTCTTCAACGAAATACGTAATGTTATTTTGCTTTCTAGAAATCGTTGATAAACTAGTTTAGCCTTGTCACTGAATTTATCATCACATTTAACGAAGAAAGACTGGTGGCTGAAAAAGGCGTCCAGACACCTTCCCAAATTATACTATTAGACTAGTTAAATAAAAAACGGTTAACGGTTCATCGTTTAGCAACGATATTTCAACAAACTAGTTTAAACTACACCCATCCCTGTGATCGTCTCGGTCATTGTTCGTATTTCATCCGCACTACTTCAATACAGTTCCGAGGAATTTCGGTATTCCTGATTGTTTGTTGATATTTCTCTCATAGTGAATTTCAAATAATAACAATAGGCGAGAATTTTTCAAATCGATGACGTGAATTCGTTGAAGATGTGAAGAAAATTAAAACAGTGTAGGATTTTTAAATTTAGTTTTTTTCGTGAAATATGTAATGCAATTAAAACTATCAGATACGGGATAATAAATTCCAAATCTGCCTACCCCATGTCTAGTTAATAACTAACGACAAATTTACATATAACATATTTAATAAACATTACCACTGGATGTTTACAAATCTTTTGATACGTTAAAAATTTTGCACAAAAACTATTCACAAGCACAATAACAGCAGATGTCACGACACTTGAAGCGCAGCTGTGATATGTTTCCATGACTTAACTTCAGACCTTTCAGAACTTCCAACCCAAAGTCCAATATCGAAAGCTTTTGCGAAGAGCTCATTAAATATGAAGGCAAAAGTTTAGTTAAAATGTAATTTTTAATTAAATTTAAAACACATGAAGCTCGAAATAGTGCGCAAAAATTTTAAGTTTTATTTTAGATCTTATTTTTAGTATTTCCTTTATGAAATACTAGCTTTCGCCCGCGACTTCGTCCGCGCGGAATTAAAAAACCAACAATGGAAGTACACATAGGCTTATGTGTTCTTTCAGACTATCCTCTACATCTATACAAAATTTCATTGAAATCTGTTCAGGCTACAAACTCTAACAAACATCCATCCATCCATCCATCTAAACTTTCGCATTTATAATATTAGTATGATAAATTAAACTGGGACTTTTAAAAGAGATTATATTATTTTAATTAGTGAAAACATTAAGTTTCGAAGTTCTCTTGGTCATAGTTATTCATTGTCCTTGCGTTAATCTAATATTGATGTTTTCTTGTCATGTCGGCAATGCCACGATTGGTGAGAGCAACGCGTAATACATAAGAAATGAAGATCTCTGACTACGAATACTAATTTGTCTCAGATTTGAACATATTTATGAAAATACAGAATTATGTTATTACTGTGTTTACCTCTTTCATAGCTGAAAGCATTTTCACTGTTTATGACTGACTACTCGTAAATTTAAAATTCAATCAATATTTACTACAGTAAAAAATATTTTGAATTGACCAACTATAGAATCATAAAACTAAAATCGCATTGTCATAACTATAGATTTTAAAACTTCTTCTAAATACGATATGAAGTCACTTTGAGGAAGATTCACAAGAAATTATTACGAAACTCGTAGCTTTTTGCTCCTTCCATGTTGTAGATCATCGTGTTTCTATTATTTTGATTTATTCCATCTTAATTGCCCATTACTATCACACTGCGTACGCTACGCATATAATTCACTAACACTAGCGTCTTCTGGGAACTAAAACACATTCATTTAACTAAGAAAGCTCCACAATTCAACGCGCGACGTTTCAGGAACCGCAACAGTGTAAACTAGGCCATCCTCTCTATATATTTATCGCGTTCTATCTCTTAGCGCCGTGCGATTATAGTGTTAACAATACACTTTTGTTTGCTGCATTCTATGGACGCCCATCTGCTCATTTTAATGCTTCCAGTTTGTCGCGACTGTTGGCGATATACGGGATAAAGTTTAAAACTATGGCAAAGTTAATTATATCTGTAAATGCATTTGAGAAGTTCAGTATTCATACTCTGCTTAGCAGAAAGGACTAATGTTTTGTAAATTTTATATTGTTGTTTTTTAACAGTTTAAAAAAGTACCTATAAGTTGCTTACCTCTACATTGGGACAGCTTTTCTTAAAGTTCACGGAAGAGTCGTTGCAGAACTTATAATACTTTAAACACTTCACTTAAACTTTAAGTAATAATATTGATTTAACAGGTTTTATCTCGACTTTGAGGCCATCGGGATGTTCTGTAACAAAAACGAATATTTATGAACATTTAGATAGGTAACATTTTTTAACTTTAGAATTTAAAGGTTAGTTTACTTGCGATTTAGATTTATTCTCCACAAATAGGCTACATTGTATAAACTTTTTTATATCTTAATTCAGTTTTAAATCATTAATTGTTCATCATCATCATCAAAAATATGTTACTTTTAAAGCAGAACAACGACTTAATGAGTTATGAAAGATTCCGTCTTGTTTTACAATTTGCTGACACCAAAAGTATAGGAGCTCTGAACGGAATCTTAGAGACTTAAGACACGGCCGGATAATCCTCCTCAAAATGAAATATTAAGAAACGGAATATTAAATGTAAAAGAGGAACTTTTCCGTCACGTACTTTTCTTTCTTTGCATTTTACTTTTAATACTTGTAAGCGCAACTTTCGCTTATTTTTCTTTGTATTTTACTTTTAATATTTGCAATTTTTAATTTTCTTTTATTCGCTCTAAGGATGGATTTAATACTTTTAAGTAGTCTAGAAATAAGACGTATAAAACAGACTTTTCTAGTAGCTTGTGAAGCTGTGGTTAATATTTATGATTTAGTTGTGTATTTAAATAACTTTTTCTACCAAAGAAGTGTAGAAATACGATTCTATAAAACGTATAAGTTTTGGAATTACGTGATTTCTACTAAAGTTAAATGATCGTCTTTTGTTTTATTTCCACCTAAGATAGAGTGACCACAAGCAATTAGGATTGTGGACAATACTTTTAGGTTATATTATAACTTGAATTAAGAATTGCTTAAGGCTTACCTTTCGCGGATCAAACTACTTTCAATAACATTTTAGGTACTTAATGTAATTGAATATCTGTATGAATTGTCGTTAAGAGATAAGCAGTTTCCAAACAACGCAATATAGCGGTACAATTGGCAAACGTATGCCGAAGCGATAACGGCCTTGTAAGCTTACAGAGCCAGTGACGCGCCAATGCTTTTAGTTATCAACTTTTGCATTAGCTACCCTGATTTTAGTTTATCTAATATGTTCGGTACTCGGAGATTTATCACTGCAATGCAAATATCTTTGCACTAGTTTCACCGCTGCTGAATTTCTGAATTATGAATCACTAGCGGGCGAAACTGCGACTCCGTCCGTATGGAATTAAAAAAAAACGAATGTACGAAGACTATGTGCTGTTTCAGACTATCCTTTATATCTATGCCAAATATCATCAAGATCCGTTTAGCCGTTTAGTCTACAAATTCATCCATGCGTCCATCTAAACTTACGACTTCATCATATTAGTTAGTAAGATTGTTTTACTTCAGTTTTTACGCGTTTATAACTATTTATCGGTAGTGGTAGGATAGAATTATTGTAGCACTAAGTAAATTCAATAAATCAAATAATTTCTTTCTTTTTTTGTTAAGAACAGTAACAGCAGTTCTAGTGGCTCTTCCCTTGGGTAGGCTCGAGCCTCATGTGTTTGTTGACTGCTTAATAATAACCATATAAAGTAAGTATACGATAAGCAATCAAAGTTTCGCACCAATGTTTACTGAATATTGCCTATTTCGTGACTTGAATAAACATATCTTGTGTTTAGCCGCTGGGAATGTTTCCGTGTCATTACACAGTGAGCGGTAACCGATCGCGTGCCGTCACTGACGCGATGACGGATGTTATTCGTGACGTGACGTTGACGTGACGTCGACGCAATCAAGTGAAAATGAACACCAACAGGCGTTATTTTGTTTTATGATCGGCTTGTTGAATGAAAATCCGAATTTTACTCATTAATCATTCCCTTGAAGGTTTTGATGTTTGACTTTCATTTCTGACTTCTAATAGATTTATTATTTGTTTGTAAGCCTGTACTGTGTGTTCCTTCTCCTAATCAAAAAGATTTCTTATTACAATACTAGCTTACACCCGCGTGGAATTAAAAAAAAATAGTCTATGTTTTATGCATTACATTTAAGCCAAATTTCAATTTATCGAAACTTTTGTATTTTTAATATTTAAGATAAATAATTAAACACGACTTTCAGGACACTATAAAATAAGTATTTAAACTATCCTGGGTTATTATAGTATTGCTAATTGCCATAAATTACATTTATTGTTTCACAAACAAGAAATTACAAAGAACGTCACTATGTTATACGCAGCCACATTTATTTTTACTAAAATAACTATGTAATTTACTCGTATAGCAAACAACTAATGTTACATTTTCCGTGAAACTTTTATTAAAATACTAACAAAATATTCACTAGTTTCGTTTACTGTGCAACTGACATATTTAATATCGTATATTCGTATGCCTGTGACCCAATTCCTGCACCTGATTTATGCCCGCTCTTGTTCTGGCAGACAATCATATTTGTACGAGACCAGATATATTGTGATATGGGATTATTGAACAACATATCTGTTCAACCCTGTGCATTATCTCTAACTCAATAATCTTGAATAAACACAATATCTAGGGTTGTCACCGTGAAGTATTTAGTTTTTAAATTTAAATTTAAAATAGTGATTTACAATATGATGAATACCCAAAATTATAAGTTGAGGGGTTACAAGTATGAAAGAGGTTTACGAGAAAAACAGTTTGGAAAACCTTGAAATAGTCTCAGTAAGACTGTTGTTACGGTGAAGGTAAATTTGGAATTGACTGAAAACTGCACTATTCGGTAACATAAAATAACTAAATCAGATTTATTTGTTTTGAAAGTGAATTCAATTTCAAGCCGTAAGATTATTGAAGATGTTAACGGCATAATTTTATCCACAATAAGGGACTGTCCCACCACTGGCTGATAAAGGATCAGATAGCTTAAAAATGACGTCACTATCAGAGAAGGGAACAAAATCCGATATTTCCATCACATCATTTACACGTTGCGTCGTTATCAGACAATTTACAATTAGGTGGGACAGGTAATAAGCAAAGTTTAAAAATAAATTGATTCAATTATTGATAACTACGTCGTAGTCTTTGACTCCAAAAATCAAACAAAAAAATGGGACCCACCTGCAAGCATTACCTTTCGGATAAAAAAATAATTATCAAAATCGGTCCACTAGCGGTGGAGTTATGCCGTAACACATATAACAAAAAACATACAGACGAATTAAGCACCTCCTTATTTTGGGAAGTCGGTCAAAATGAACACGCGGGTCTTAAATACTATCATAATATATTTAATTAAACTAAAAATTAATTGATAAATTGCTATTGACCTTTTTCACTTTGCAACTGTGTTTCAATTAAGCGTTTGAATAGCGTAGAAAGATAATTTTGAAGTGCATTGTAAAACGCGTTACAGCCCGGTGTTATATAAATAAAACATAAAAAATCGATTTTTAATCTACGTAGTCACTTATGGACTTTTGATGTTTGATATTAGTTTCTGCACATTTATATTTCAACGAGGATCACATTAGAATGGACAAAAATATATGTGTTATAGTAGCCCAAAGCTATTTTGCTTTAATTAATGATTTTTGGAAGCCTACTTTTATTCCCTTTTTTCACAATTTTCTTAATAGGAAAAGTGGAATTATCGGTGGAGAATACGCATAGCAAAGGGATATATCCTGTTTATGTGCGTCTTCTCTTCCGTCGATTGAGGGTAGACAACGCATCTATAGTTACGGACGTCTATGGACAGCAGACGCTTCGTCATTAAGGCGGATTCAGGTGGTTACTTGCTCGTTTGCCACCTTATAATATAACAAAAAAAGTTATGCAAAAACAGTATTACTGTTAATACATTTAAAGTTAAAAATCCGTAGAAACCTGAATCGCGTGTTAAGATAATCACACCAATCACCGTTCTCTCCATTTTTCCATTACAGCGGTTTTTCTCCTTTAAAAAGCAATGTACCAAGGACAATGAACACTGATAGGCAATATCTCACGCCCGGCCGCCGTGTACAGTAAAATTGGAAAATATATTCACTTAGAATCCTTGCGTGAGACTCCCATAATAGATCAATGTGAAGGTTTCCCGAACGCCCTTATTTGTACGATAAATGGAGTAGAAATAGGAAGGTTTAGACGTTTAGCTTTTATTGTACGACATTTTTGGTGTTCCGGTACGAGGATTTAATGGACGTAGCGATCCTTTACCCTATTGACAAAAATTGGACTTTTTAAATAAAAGTATAATCTTTGTTTTAAGATAAATATGTAAAATAAAAGGTTTATTACGAAATTAAATCGTAAATACTATTATTTTTGATATACTGCCCGCGGCTCAGTCGTTGGGGAATTAAAAAATGTAAAGGTCTGTTAAATTTCAATCAAATTCATTTAGCCGTTTTGGAGATACATACATAATAAACATCCATCCAACCATTCAAGCTTTCACATTTATTATATTAAGTATGACTTACTAAAATGTAAGCTTTTTAACCGAGGTTGCAAAAATTCGTTACATAATTGTGTTTAAACACGATTAAACTAAATAATCAAAATTTCATAATAAACTAATATTATAAATGCGAAAGATTAGATGGATGAATGGATGGATGTTGGTTAGAGTTTGTAGCCTAAACGGCTGAAGGGATCTAAATGCAATTTGGCATAGATGTAGAGGATAGTCTGAATTAGCACATAGGCAACTTGCTTTTGTTTTTTTTAAATCCGCGCGGACGGAGTCGCGGGCGAAAGCTAGTGCTGTCTATAAAGAAAAATCGTCTAAATTGTCAGAGAGATGTATTTACGATTTAATCCGAATTCGTTTTGTATTTGCGTGTCGATATTCGGACCCAAAACCCGCCGACCAAAAGACTTGGAAAACAATTTTCTTTTCAAAGTTATTTCCCTCTTTATTGAGTTTAGTAAACAAGAGATTGTTATCAGATTTCATTTGGATTCCACGGGAGCCTGGCCTTGGCTTACAAACTAATAACAAATATAAAGTAAGAAAGTTGTTGAGCTACAAAGCATGAAGATAAGCTTATATTCCCTTTATATTAAAAACACATTTAATTAGATAAAGTTTGTCTGATATCTTTAACTATGTTATTCATAAACCCTCACAAATTAATACACTTTATATAGTAAGTGTGTTTAAAAAATTTACTCGTCACGTTTGGGCACGAAGAAAGCATAGATTATTTATATTATAACTAAAGAGCCTTACCATAAAAAACTTAAATTTTTAAATCAAATACATCCAACCATATGACAACCATTTATACCCTGACTCTAGCATCCAGTGTAATAGTAAAGTACATAAGAAAGATGAAGATATTTTTATGAAACAAAACAATTTTTACGTCCATGATATCAATTCGATCGTCAGTCGATAGTCGTCAATCGTTTAAGTTAAAACACGTGGTAAACCAAACAGTGTCTAACGATGTTTGTGGGTTTTTTTTTTATTACAGTTAGAGTTTTCTCTAGAATGTAATTGAAAACTTTTCGAATGGTTTATGAAAATGAATATATCGATTTTTACGTTTCATATCGAGTATTCTGTTTATCCATTAACCCAATATACGGCAATACTATAAATCTGTTTAGAGCTATAACGCCGTACGTTTTAGTTGTTGGATAATAATACTTTGCGAATTTAATAAACAAATTTAATATTGGCATTATTCCGGGTCATGAACATATGAACAAGGTTTCCAGGTCAAGAGTTGGATAAAATTTGATACCGTTGGCTTTAAACGCCTCTGGTCAGGGACGAAATCCGGGTTTTATGTGGCGAGACATCAAAAGTGTGACATGCTTCATTTCTCACTAAGTCTCATGTTACTTTCTCATTAAATAAACCGTTCATTAAGACATTTCAATACGCATACGTATTTTGAGGTTAGGTACACGTTTTCCAGAACATTCGAGGCTATGTTAAGTCGCCTAAACGATACTTTTCTCTCAAATATGAGCAAACGCACTAAATTAAGCTGCAAACCGTAAAATGATTTAACACAGACGCAATATATTTAAAAAATCAACTAATAGACGCATAGAAAACAAATAATTTCACCCGAGGGAGTTTAGTTGATTAAGAATTTAAAATATCAGAATTATTTTTTGTTATTGCAATACGGATTTACTAAAATTGATTCATTTGTATCACAATCGTCGGGCTGTCGTTTGCCTTCGTGTAGCATAGTCACTTCAATTTGTTATACGTTGAAATTCACCTTTGAGATATCCATCACAACGCTTTGTGACACAATGTTCCTGTATCAAAGCTATATCCGGATATATCTAGTTACGTACTGTAGTAAAGATAAAGTATTTTGTATCAAGCATTTCATGACTTCACTTCTAGATATATTTTCTAGATTAAATAAAAAAAAGTGATTTATTTTAAAAATGTAATAGTAGGTAATAGGTTCATTTAAATTTAATTGAATTATTCTTTTGGGTTTGTAGAGTAAAGTCAAAGGTTGAAAGACGCTTTCTACGTTTTCTCAGAGTCAAATAGTTGTTCAAAGTTACTCTGAAAATTTTAAAAAATTAAAGTATATTTTTATTTTGAATAATATTTTAGATCTTTCAATGTAGCGATAATTCCAAAAAAGTTAACAACACGCGTGTTTCTTTCATCTAAATTTTGGAATGTAGAAAATATGAACCCATTATCTTGACTTCTTATGATTTTGACGTCAAGGTCGAGTGATTGAATCAAAATAAATAAATATTTTAATATGATTTTCTTTGATTACCAGCAGAATGTCTATAACGCAAAGAAAAAAGCCATACATTCTTGCAAAAAGAAAATTGAGACGTCACGAAATTTTTCGAATAAGTATTTATAAAGACATCCTGAGTGTGCTTCAAAGATTTCGAACTTCCCTACTTCACTTTCTTGGTATTTTTTTTACAAGAGATAGGCAAATTTTTGTGACGTATGGAATTTTCCGAAGTAACTTTATCACACACTAAAGGGCTTTTACTGTGAGAAAATGTGTTATAAAATTTGTAATAACAAAACACTGGCCGGAACGAAAACATTCACTTTTATGTTATGGATTGGGAACGTGTTCTACTTGCGCTTTTGTTCCTGCATAAAAAGTATATTTCTGTTTTTAATTATATCCGTTGTCTTTTGAATTGACCGTAATTTTTTTCGTAATCACCTGGCTCACACTACTAAAGCACACGAATGCAAAGGTAATTCACAGAAAAAAAACTTAAAAAGTGATGTGAAAAATCTGGTGGTTAGATATTAATGTACATAACCATTTATTCTATAATTTAAATTATTCTGAATGCTTAAGAAAATATTTCTATTAAGTTTCATTGACTGCAAAATCATAGATTTTATGGATCATCAAAGTATACCAAAGACAATGTAGAGCGTTCGCATACCTGAAACTAAACTATCGCGCAACTGTTTTATTCGCTTTGATACCTATGAGTTTATAAGGAAGTATGCATACTACTCGATTTTTAGTTGTGCAGCTAAACAGTTGCATTGGCTAAAAAACAATCGACAATCGCATTGTAGCGATAGCTTAGTAAAGGTGTGCGCCTTCTCTAAGGTTTTGCAACTACTTTTCAAATTAAGATTTTTGACTTGATTTCAAATTAGGAACCATTATAAGAGTATAAGGTACACAGATGCGAAGCTAATATAAATGTAAGATAACAAAAATAACTACGTGTAAGCTTTACACATTGCCAATCGTTTAAATAAAAACCTAACAGCATCGGAGCGTGTTGTTCTTGAATATCAATAAATAAGTCGATGCGTATCTCCCGACGGGTGTAGTCCGTCGGCTATACTCGTTCCCAATTGAGTTCTCAGAGTGAACTATCACTCATAATTTACCCACTAAAAGATTAAATTCTGCGCCAAGAACGAGATTACATTCCTTGAGTGTACAAACCAATTTGTGTGATACGTGTTCATTGTACAGATCTTGGATAGGGTTTTTTTTTATATATATAAACTCGTATACCAATCCATCAGAAACCCAACTGATTTGTGAGAGAGCTGGTTTGCACTAATTTGAAGTATTGGCTTTTATTATCCACAAAACAATTGGAATGTATTGACTTCGACAACTTGTTCCAAACTATTCTTCTTTAAATGCGACAACTAAACGACGTTAGGACCATTTGCAACATCATTTGGTGTTCCAGATTTGTTGCAAGCCTAGTACTTTTTTCAAACGCATTTAAATGTAGATTAATCGCATTATATGTTGTAAAGTTCAATGGTAGAATACAGATATACAAACGGTTTTAATAATTATTAACCCATAAATAATACATACGCTACGTATGAAAATATTTTGAAATTCATAAAACGGTTACAATGAAATGTGTAAACAAATACATTTTACCGCGAGCGCAATTGGTTTCGTTTACTTTTTGCATTGCAAATAATTCATGACGTGGTTTTGTGATTAACGTTACAAAAGTTAACCAGGAAATACCTAAAAAAATTTTAAACACTAAGTTGTATGATGTTTCACATTAAAATAACTATACAAATTAATATATTCAATCAATCAATGTGAAAATTAGTGTTTTTTTTTTAATACTTCCTTGTATATAAGCTTCTTAGTTGGTTTGTTCTGCCGTTTTGTATGAACAAATACTCGTAAGATCGGTATTTAATTTTAAAACAACATACAACATATTTCACGCCCGTAACCTAGTGGGGTAAGCAGATACTTTCATTTCATTTGGCTCGGTACTAACATGCCTATGGAAAATATGAAGTGAAAATAAAAAAAAATATTTCTTTCAACCTGATTGATATAGGTAGAGTTATCCTTTTTCTCTTAGCTATCATTTCAATGTTCAACTGCTTCCTTCTTCTACTGGAAAGTTTCCAAGCCTTTTTTCTTAAATAAAGGTGAAAGTTGACTCGTAGTTTTAAACGCTGCAGATATGCTAAGTTTTGAAATATATTGCACGTTTTTTTTAATTATTAGGAAATAATTTTAAGAATAAAGGCACATTCTTTATTACTACTACTATACTGCTTATAGTAACATCCTATGCCCATATTTCCTATTGTTTCGATGAAATACGACTAAATAGAAAGAGATTTGTGGCCTTTGCCATATCTAATCTTTACTTAGTTTTGGATCAGAGCCAAAGTCCAGATTAGCAGTGTCTTAAGAAGTAGTCCTTTGTGCCGGCACCGAGTTACAGAATACTTTAATAAGTTCGAGACCTCTCTGAATGATAAATTAATTTCTCAGCATTAATATTGACATCTGCTTGGGTTTCGCTTTGTGTGAGACAAATGTAAGCCCTTCTTTATAATACGGTTTACACTTTGAATAAATTTATTGTTCGTTTTAAAATTAAATTACTTAATCGCCTTATATTCTTAATCTTTTTGAAATAGATGATACTAGCGTATTTTAATTTTCTCAAGTGATTATAATTGTTTATAATCTATTTTTTGATTGAACATTTCGAGTTTTCTCTGGACTTAAATGATGTAGAGTAAGAAATAGGCATATAAATTATTACGAAGGTTACATAAACGTGGAATGCAACAAGTAAAGCTCGCCTCCACCCCGTGTCTTCACGAAATTAAAATTTTCCTTATATACTTAAAAATGTTTTAAAACACGCTTTTAGTAATTAGTACTTAAAATAAATAAATTTAACTCATACATCCGATGTTATATTTAACAGTTTCTCTTTTTATTTAACTTAAAACACAGATTAAAAAGATTATGAATAAAAGTATTTAATAAAAAATTTAAAAATAAAATTCTATTACTTTTCATTACCCATGCAACTGGAGAGTAAAAACAATTTCCAAAAATTCAAAATCAAGCTTACCTTTTCATTAAAAAAATAACTCTTCAGCACAAGAAAAATCCAGATATAATTTTTAAAACACAACAAAATAAGTTCGCAAAATCGGGGCACAGGGTAATACTGTTCACTTATTCACTAGATGGTTTTCGCGTGACAGCACAAATAGACGTCCGACTGAGCCGACGTCCGCGACAGCACTGCTCCCGGATTCCCGCCCAGCCCACCCTATCCCTACCTGTTACAGGTACGGTGGCCACATTCAGACATAAGTAGCTCATATTGATGGACAAATCGAATTGATTTCCGTACCCGACTTATGTCCGCTCTTTTATTTCGCGACCTTATTAGCGAGCTTTTAATGAGCTTTTATTGCAACTTTAAATTACCAGAAAAGATTCAGCAGCTTACTAATATTATAAATGAGAAAGTTTAGATGAATGGATGGATATTTACTAGAGCTTCTAACCTAAACGGCTGAACCGGTCTCAATGAAATTTGTCATAGATGTAGTAGTTCGTTTGAAAGTCACATATACTTAGGTTTTTTATTTTAATTTCACGCGGACGGACTTGCGGGCGACAGCTATTATGAATAAAAATAGTTTGTTTCGATTTATTCATAATAACTCGATTTAAAGGACTGAATACTTACATTTGTAGTCAAAAGAGGTATCCAGTAAACAGATTCCATTAAAGAAGGGGCAAACTAGCAGTGGGAAACGAGGTGACCATAGATGCCTATGGACATCCGCAATACCAAAGGAACTGCATATGCATTGCACAATAGTCGTATTTTCCTGTTTTAATTTATCTTAAAAACAATGAAAAAAATATTATTTGTAAAAAAGACTCTTAAAAGAAAATACATTTATTTTTCCTAGCTATTTCTTTAACGGAGGTAAAATCACGCCTTTTTCTATGCTATGCAAAGGATTCCAAATTAAATTCCAGCGCGGCACAAGGTGAACGCTTTCTTACATAGGACGAATTACTGCATAGTTTTCTTTTAATATTTGGAATTTGTTACATTCCTCTTGCTTTATTCGAAATCACTGCATAAATTATTAAACTTAATTAGATGTTGTTCCCGATTATTCCCGCGTGAAATTAATGCTTCTATCATAGCCTATGTTGCTCACAGATGAATTACCTTTCTAAAGGTAAAAGAATTTTTTAAAATCGGCCCAATAGTTTCTGAGTTTTTTCAATTCATACAAAAATACAAATCTTTCCTCTTTATAACATTAATATAAATAGAGATAACCATCTATTAATTTTAAAGCTTTTAAAACTTGATATCGCGTAGGTTGTTTTGATAAAGCTTGTTATAACGTAGTTAATCTCTGAAGTTTATTCTGCTAACAAATTGTTCATGACAGCCTTGTCAATATCACACTATGCTTTGAGTTTCAAAAGCTATGCGAAGTCACATTGATTAGACAGCCTATCCATTCGCTCATTTTAGTTTGTCGTTACCATAGATATTCAAATATATAGAGGAGACAAAGTTGACACTAAAAACAGTTCTCAGTAACGCTATTGATAGACCCTCGATACCACGTTTAAATCTTTATATTTTATTTTGCAATACTGTTTGGTTAATTTTATAATAAAAGACGGATTATACATTTTGTAAAATGTTTTAATACATGGACACGAGGTGGCGAATTAAACTTGACAACTGATATAGTACCTTTCAGACAAAGTAACGGTGAAAAAATGTTGTTCACTATGCCTCTTCTGTATATTGTTTAAATGTCTTTGATCGTTACGCATATCTTTGTTATCGACATGTGTCAAAACACACTATAACGTTACTTTGTGTTTGAAATTGGTTTTTTGTCTGATTCGCGGTAGTGATGTTTTTCGCGGCATGTCCATATCATGGTCACTGCCTATTGCGTTATTGAAATTCTCTATGAGTACAGTCAGCTGCATCAATAAGTGTACAATTGCAAAACTTTATAAATTTGTATAGACTTTTAGTTTTATTCATGTTTTCGTCTATAACATTTATATATGATTGCAAACATAGGAACGGATTCAAATAGTATACATATTTTTGAAATTAATTCACACACAAGTTTCCGAAGCTTTGTACAAGTGTATATTTTATGCATCTGATTGTACTATTTGTCAACCTTTCTGTTTTCTGTTTAATGAATTAAAAACTGTTTTATATTTAATCTTTAAGTTCTCTACGAATCTTAATTTCTCTATAAAACTCTAATAATTTTTAACTCGATAAAGGTAAAACTTTATTCTCCGTAGGTTTTCCGTAATAAAGAAAAAGTACATTATAAATTAGGTCCTTTGTTCTGTCGCGTTTTAAAATTGCTGAACTTTAAAAGTTTGAACATAAAAATGTAATGAAGTGAAAATTTTCAAATAACCCAATTAAACTAAGCACAGAAGTTTTAATTATTTTATTAAAAAAATATTCACCGCAAATATATACCGCTGGCTGACTTTTGAGTTCAATTTAATGAACTAAAAGGAGATAAAAAAACGAACAACAATTAATTTCTAACATCTAAGGTTTTTTTTAAATATAATATAAGGTGGCAAACGAGCAAGCGGCCACCTGAATCCACCGATATGGAAAGCGACAGCTGACCATAAACATCCGAAACTGAGGATGCGTTGCCTATCCTTCATTGACGGAGAAGGATACGCGCATAAAGAGGTCATAACCCCATCCTATGCGTCTCCTCCACCGTCAAGTCCACTTTTCCGGGCCATCCTTTTCTCTTAAGAAAAGAGTAGAAAAGGAAAGGGACTTTTAGTAGGCCTCCAGCACCACACTCATTAGACGAAACGCGGAATTGCTTTCACTGCACGCCTGTCTTCTGTGGTAAAGCGGGTTCTACCACTGTAAAAAAGTACGAGTATAACATTCGGAATGAAATCTAAAATCTGAGTTTTGCTATTGAAATCATTTATTGGCTACGCTAACAAAAAATCAATCACAATAAGAAGAGACACAAAACGCACATTGTCTTCATCAATCCGGATGCACGATGAGCATTAGTCGTCATAAAATACAGGATGTTTATAAAACGCCCACAATTTTTGTTTACAACACATTAAAACGCGGTTGCAGTAAAATATTAATATTTTGACTTTTAAAACACCCGATGTATAGTTATGACGTGGAACAAAATTTTCTGCGTCGTGACCAAAATTTTATTAATTTAGTTTATTTTATACTAGCTTTCGCCCGCGACTCCGTCCGTGTGGAATAAAAAAAAAGAGTAAGTACCCTATGTGTTCTTCCAGAATATCCTCTACATCTATACCAAATTTCATAGAAATCCGTTCCGCCGTTTAGGCTACAAACCCTAATAAACATCCATCCATCTAAACTTTCGCATTTATAATATTTTTACGATTTTATTTCAAAGTACAAATCAAATTGCAATCTAATCTGGTAGTGTTGATTTTCTTATTTTCAAATTCCTAATCAACATCTCAACAACTAAGTTACTTCGAAAATGTAGCAACTAAATCTACACTTAATCCCTCGAGATTTCATTAACTAGCTAATGTACACAGACATTATGACAGCCCTAACACTTGGCACGCGCCTGTCGTATCCTAGACATTGCGAGATAAACGTACTCAAGCTTTCAACCCATTTGGGCTCTAACATTCGGATAACGTACTACGAATAATGGTAGTTAGAAATAATGGAACAACATTTTATTATGTACTAGCTGTTCCCATGCGACTTCATCCGCATAAATTTATAAAAAAATTATATTATTGTTCACGTTTGTCAAATTATCAAATGTCAAAATGACATGACATGATGTCAAAACATGGCAACCTTGCTTCCTTGATGTTGGCAACAACTTATGGTCTCTTTCCCACATTAGGGTTTTTATCCAAAATATTTACCCCTAAGTTTAACGGCGTGAAAATATATAGCCTAAAGCGTGATGTAAGTGTAGGTCTTTTTATTAAAAAGAGTTATTTGAAAACAAGCTGTAATTGCTGACATCTTAGGCAACAAAGAAGTGTGTGTTTACGCTTTATTACAATAGTATATATGTTATGTTTTTGTTGCTATAATTTATGAATTCATCATTTTATAATAAACTTTGAGTTGATAAGATCACGTCGTCTATTCATATTGTTGTGTCGAATGTTATTCATATATTCCTGTTGATTAAACGATTTCTTTACCAAACATCTACCATCCCTTTCATTCTCTTGAAAAAAATAAAGATGACGATATTTGTATATAATAGTTTAAGAAGTGGGGCTCATTTGTTCTGTTAATATTGTGAAACTTCAGATTTTATTTCGGAGTAACTTTGTGCAGTTAGAGTTCCTAGCTGAAACTCAACTTGTTCACATTATTACATGCCTTAGGCTTTCGTTGTGAGTATTTTTTATTTAATACTAGCTGTTCCCGAACGGCTTCATCCGCATAAATTATAAAAACTATTTTATTGTTTACATTTGGAAAATTCTCAATTGCAAATGTCAATATTACCGTTACCATAACAACCTTGCTTCCTTAATGTTGGCAGCTCGTATCGTATGGTCTCTTTCCCACGTTAGGGTTTTTATCCAAAACATTTACCCCTTAACTTTAATAGCGTTAGATACATAGCCTAAAGCATGACGTAAGTATAGGACCTTTTATTAAAAAGAGAATCATTCAAAAACATGTTGTAATTGCTGACATCTCAGGCAACAAAGAAGTGTGTGTTTACGCTTTAGCATATTAGTATAGATTTTAAAATGTTATACTCAAGTTAGCAGCGATTTTGTATTATTATTATAGGACACAGTCGTGACGACTTACCTAGTTTTCTTATTTAGAAATATAGTATTGCCCATAGGAAAGCGCCTCATAGGACAAATAGAATCAAAGAAATTCTAAATACAGTCACGGAAATTCACGGTGTCCACATATGGAAAAATAGCCTTGTTCGTTACAACGAGACAAACTCCGCATTTTACAAATAACCAATTAGATAGCAATGAGTAGCGCAAACGGAATAATAAAATAAATTAATTGTGTATCACAAACCGATACTTTTCGTACACCTTTAAAAAATGCGTTATATTGAGTTTTGTTCCGCGTGTTAGTTTAAAATGTTCAAAAGATCGTAGCTTTTAATGTGGAAGACTGCCAATTTCCCTGAATGTACATAGGTACTTACTAC